CAGAGATCCATTTTTCGATGTCTTCATAGGAATTAAAGTGTTCCTCTGTAAGTGCGTGTGTCATCGATCGAAACAAGGGATAGTCGGAAGGGACACAGTCTGGTGAATAAGCCGCACGGGGTAGCATTTCCCAGTAAAGTGTTTCTAACGTTTCCTTGACAAGTTTTGTGACGTGAGGCCGAGCGTTGTCATGGAGCAAAATTATTGTACTTTATGCTGTCTCGTTTCATATTCTGGTCGTTTTGCGTGCAATACTCGGCTCAAACGGATAATTTGTTCTCGGTAGAGATCCCCTGTGACTGTTTGACCAGATTTCAACAGTTCGTGCTACACTACACTCTTCTGATCTCACCAAATACAGAGCATTACCTTCTTTCCGTGGATATTCCGCTTCGTCGATGTCGATGGTTGGCCTGGATCGCAAATGATTTTTCGGCGTTTGGGGTTATCACAATAGATCCTTTTCATCACCAGTCACAATTCGATGCAAAAACCTCTTTCTTTGTTGCCTAGCAAGCAGAATTTTGATGATGGTTTTTCACCTTTCAATGTCTCTTAGCTTTAGTTGGTATGGGATCCATTTTCCTTCCTTGTAGACTTTTCCCAAGGCTTTCAAACGATCGGAAATAACAGATTGAGCACAATTTAATGCTTCTGCAAGTTATTTTTGTGTTTGACATGGGTCTTCATCCACCAATGCCTGCAATTCTTCGTCTTCAAATGCTTTTCGCCATTCAGAATGCTCTTTGTCCTCCACATCAAAATCATCACTTTTAAAGCGTCGAAACCATTCTCCGTATATTTTATCGGAAGGAGCACTATCACCATAAACTTCTACAAGCATTCGATGAGCTTCAGCTGTAACTATCTTCCATTTGAAGTAAAAGGTTAACACTTCGCGCAAATGACGCTTATTTGGCTCAAATGTCGACATTTTCGATGCAGTAAAAAGCAATGTTATTGATGTAAACGTATACTTTTATATACTGAATTTTATTGACAGATGGTAAAACTAAAAAAATTAAGCTTGGTTTAGACATTAGAGTTATCAATAGTTCTAGCTAGAGCTATTCGCCGCTAGATGGACGGAACTTTTTGATTGACCTAATAAATTTTAGCCAATCTTAAGTATCAAATTACATTTATTAACATTATTGTCATTAATTTTATTTTATATATAATATTATTTTATTTCATATTCCATTATTTTATTCATTTGCGAAGTTTTGTATTTTTTCAAATTTTAATTTTGTTTCTACAATTGTTATGTATGTATTTTTACCTACTACTTTGTTTACCATTCCGGCTGTGTTCGATTTGATGCTTACACATTAAGCGCTTATAAGCATTGCTCACAATGTTTGCTTTGGCGGTGTAAGCGCTCAGAGATGCGTTCATGACATCATACGTGATGTCATACTCATGCTCATAAATATTGCTTATGTCATCGAGGTAAGGCAATAAATGCGTGAGCGCAAATAAGCGTTTATTGGTCAAAATAAACGTGAGCAATATTGATCTTAACCCTAATAGGTTAGATCTATATATGTTTTTTCATTAGAGAAATGTTTAATGAATGTATCAGGTTGCGTGTATATTTAACGCTCTCGTAATATACTTATATATGACATCTACAAACGTTTTCCGATTTTGTACTAATAAAAAATGACTTTGTTGTTTACCAACAAAGAATTGGATGCTTAAATTGTCATCAAAAAATAGAAAAAAGAATTTACTCACAAAGATCAACACATAAATAAAGTTCTAGTTGATTTAGAAGATGCACTGACTGGGAACATATACATGATATCTTTAACGGCTCCTGCACACAGAACGCAGCAGCGTTTGCGTTCCGCGGCGGAAGTTAGTGCGATAGCCAATCAATGTCTCGCTTGCTCGGAAGTAATAGACATATAATTTCCATCGCGCGATAAAAGTTGAACTCAATCCAACTTTTGCCGCGTGACAGTAGTAATATTATATCATTTTAGAAGTTTTGCATGGTGTGGCCACAGTAGCGCAACTTTCTATCAGCATCTTTGATGTTAGTATTTTCCAATATGAAGTGCGCACGCGCGAAATAAGTAAGTTCTTTAGTAGCGCTATCTAAATTTCTTTCTCAGTTGCTCCTTATTTTGCCCCTCTCTCTCTCTCCCCCCCTCCCTCTCTCACCCCTCTCTCTAGGTCGTTTGTATATCAAAGTATATACTTATTTATAATCTAAATGTAATAAAACTAAAAGAAGTAGATTTATAATTGTAATGCATTATAATTATAATTGTAATGTGCGTGAATGTATGTATGTGTGTATGATATCAGTTAATGGTTTACCTATCATTGCACTGTTGTCTTATTTCCGGTTTTGTTGCTGGTGGGCTTTGTAACAGCAATTTTGCTGATGCCTAATCATTTGCAAGCTATTAATGACTATTGTATTTTATTTTATGTTATGTTTACTGTAGTCTATTGTATCTTATTTTATCTCTCTTACTCTGTTAGCATGTAATCTTCCTCATAAAGCTTTATAAGAGATAGAAGAAAAGAAAATCATGATTAGCTAAACTAATCATGATTTTCTTTTCTTCTATCTCTTTTTCTGATCCGTATTTTAGCTACTTGACATTTAAATGGCCTTGAAAGAGAGAACGGAAAAAGAAAGAAGTGAGATAGAATTTTAGATGGCGTTACTGGGCAACTTACTTATTTCGCGTGTGCGCACTTCATTTTGATAACATAAAATCAGGAGAGTTGCGCTATTGAATATACTGTGGCTATGTAGTCTATATCCACTTTGTCAGAAGGCAATAGTGCGCGGCAGCATTTTGTGGTTACAGGTTTTGAGCCGTCATGTCATCTCTCAGGTTTCACTTTGGTTCAATTATAGACCTCATTTTGCCTTTGACAGATTTCCTAACCTCAATAGTCATCAACTTTAACGCTTAATCTCGGATCATAGGATAGAGCGACGCTTCTTTTTACCAGAGTTTTTATTTTGCCAGGGAGTCGATTCTGTATCTTCAAACAAGGTGAAAATTACAAAAATGAGCAAATTTACTAGGTGTTGATCAATGAAATGACTGATAATGAATTATCAGTATTCTAATAAATTCGCTCATTTTTGTAATTTTCACCTTGTTTGAAGATACAGAATCGACCCCCTGGCAAAATGAAAACTTTAGAGTTCCATGAGGTGCATTTATCGCGTAATCAGTCAGTAATCAGTAAAACACGAAATCACAACAGCGAATTGCTTCTGATTGGTTACGCGATTACGCGATAAATACACCTCATGGGACTCTAATCGCGCCCTAGGCGTACTTTTTGAGATGCGATAAGTTACGAAAACCAATCGTAAATTTGTTTAGCATTCTGTTAGAATGTTACAACAGAAATTCTAATCAGCAATTGGTTGCATTAATTCCGCATTTCTCTAATTTTCTGCGAAATATTCCCAATGTAAATGCCAGTTTTCAGAATGGCGCATTCTAGTAAATAAAATATAACTTATTCTAGTAAAATTACTTTACGCAGGTTACGTTTAAGCTCCAGACACAATACGAAGGAATAGTGATAGTGATAGAAATAACACGATTTTAACTTATCAGAAATTAGATACACTGGAATATGCAGTTTCTGATAGAATTGAAACCGTGTTACTTCTATCGCTATCGCTATTTCTTCGCATTGTGTCTGAGGCATTAGGGTGATATTTCATTCGTGCGTTTTTGTCATATAACAAATTTTTCAAGCCTATTGATTGGTTATGGAATAAAGAGATCCGAGGACCTTTCTGTTCTGTACACATTTGTCCTATAGATAAAATTGCACCCTACGCAGGTTATGCCGTATGTGACGGCACCCCAGTGATTGATCGGATCCTTCGATACGCGAATACGCGTATGGCGATATGGGAAGGCATCCTTACGCAAGTTGCATATAAAGGCAGCCTTAAGCCGCGATTACGGTCTACTTGGCGCTACAAATGTTTCGAAGCATTTTTTGATTGATCAATTAATAAAATTCTTTCTTTCAAAATTGGTCAAACAAAAGCTTCGAAGCATTTGTAGCGCCAAATGATTCGCACCTTAGAGCATCTGAGAATATAATTAGGGAGCGTTTGTATTGACCGTAATCTGTAAAAATCTGTAAAAAACCCATCACCTTCGAATATTCTCTTCTTATCGAATGAGAATCACTCTGCGAGCCAATGCTTACAGATTCCGTTTTTCCGAAATTCCAACTGTCATGGGACAGCACTCTTAATCGGATCTGATAACATCTGTAGTTACGACCAATCACAATCGAATTACATTCTTCCGAGGAATAGCTATAATTTTATAATTATGGTTGTTATTAAATCCCCGATTAAGCGTGCCGTGTAGCAGAGGTCTGAGACTATGAGATACTGGATTGTGAAATTTAACTAATTAAAAAAAAAAAAGAAAATCAGTCTCAAATTTATAGTGACCTTTGCTTTGATTGATTAAATTCCAGTTTAATTTCAATTTCAAGTCTGATACGCAAGGATTTTATACT